TGAGTTTGCTAAGAATGGAAATCATACCTGCCGTCATTTTCTTCCATCTAATGAAAATATGTTTGATTCTAAATATATGCTTATATTTGCACTTCTGGCTTTGAATTGTTTATTTGGTGCCTCAAATTTCGTCTTGATTCATATTACCACAAAATGATCCTCTCCTAAGTTTTGGGTCAACCTTGACTTTGTTAAAGTTTATACACTGAAGGAATGGTTTCCAAAGTACCTGTATCTTATCACAATTTTATGTACAATCTTAAATTACAATTTATTTTTTCATCACAATATTTATAAATGTCTTTGCTGAAATAAAGTGTGAGCTAATACTAACTTTGGTAAAATTTATTTTGCTCTTTTGCTTTTGTGATGCATTGATTATTATCGCCCGCACACTCACACACACACACACACACCCACACACACACACACACAGTAGATAATTTTGGTGGTTTCAAAATGTAATTCCTTTGCCTTTGAATCAATCTAATGCAGAAGGAGACAACACTATTTCCCCACTTGGCCTCAATGGTTGGTAAGTGCTGGCAGTTAACAGTCACACAACTCAATTCCTCTCCTCAGGAGGTTTAGACGAGTTCCTCAGTTATAGCCACAGGCAGTAAAATGGCAAAAGTGAAGAATGAAAAGGCAAAACAGGCAAAAGTAGAAAATCCCGTCAACGTCCACTTGGCCCAGGAAATGTACATAAGCGCTTACCCACAGTGTGCATGATCGCCAAAAAAAAATCACTTTGGGAAAAAATTTTACCTTCCATCGCTCATCCCTTTTCCTCTAAATTAAAGTCTAAATACATCACTGAGCTTTAGAAGAAAAGGGTTGGGAATAGTCAAGGTGTAATTCAACTGGAATAACTAAAAATAACACGTGTGACATGACACTAAGTCAAGGAGTGACTTGTTCAGTGCAGATTAGTGACAGGTAACAGAAAGAGCTTACAGTCTCCTTTTTAGACTTAAAATAAATAAATATTACAGGTAATTAGCAGAGGTCTAAAAACAAACAGGCTTATCTGAAACACAAAACAAGTGGTAGACCAAAATACATTGCTATAAATAAAAATAAGAATGTGAAATATTAAAGTATTTAACAGCTTTCAAAATGAAATTCTATTTGTAATAAAGTCATTTAGAACAAGTCTTAATACTTTCCATCTCTTCTCTTTTTTACTCATTTTAATTTCCATCACAGTAATTGTGAAACACTTTGCTCAACTATATGGTAAGAGAGGCAGTTTTTGTTTTCTTTTATTGAGTCAGAGTCTCACTCTGTTGCTCAGGCTGAAGTGCAGTGGCACACTCACAGCTACTGCAGCCTCGACCTGCTGGGGCTCAGGTGATCCTTCTGCCTCAGCCTTCCAAGTTGCTGGGACAACAGGCATGCAATACGACACCAGGCTAATTTTTTTATTTATTGTAGTGATGAAGTTTCTCTATGTTGTCCAGGCTGGTCTCAAACTCCCGGGTTCAGGCAATCTTCTTACCTCGGCCTCCCAAAGTGCTGGGATTACAGGTATGAGCCACTGCACCCAGTCAAGAGGCAGCTCTTTTTTAAAGCAATGGGAAAATCTTAAAAGTTATCCTGAATAAAACAGAGCTTTACTTGGGAAAAAATAGCCTTGAAGGTGTGACATCCAAAAGATTAAAAAAAATTTAAACCAACAACTAAAAAAGAAGATGGCAAAAAGGGAACGACTTAGGACAACAACAACACAAGTCAGAGAACCAGACAGAAAACACAAACAGAATACAGTAAAAAGGAATGACTAAAAGAAGGATCAACAGCCCAGGATCTCTTAATCTACTATTATCTACTTCCCTAGGTTTCCTAATGCCAAGCTAGGCTTTTTTTTTTTTTTTAAGAGACAGGATCTTCCTGTCACCCTGGCTGGAGTGCAGTGATGCAATCATAGCTCACTGAGCCTCAAACCCCTGAACTCCAGCAATTCTCCTACCTCAGCCTCCTGAGGAGCTGGAACTAGGGGTGCTACCACCACACCTGGCTAATTTGTAAAAACTGTTTGTAGAGGCAGGCTCTTGCTATTATTGCCCAGGCTGGTCTTGACCTCCTGGCCTCAAATGATCCTCCTGCCTTGGCCTCCCAAAGCTCTGGGATTATAGGCATGAGCCATGACACCTAACCTCTTTGCAACTCTTTACCATCAATTCCATGGAGCATTCAAGGTATATTGTATCTGTGCTGTCAGTATGGTAGCCATGGCCACATGTGGTTATTGAGCACTTAAAATGTGGCTGATCCAAATTGGGATTTGCTATAAGTGTGAAAAAAAATGCTCAGTAATTTACATTGATAATGAGGGGAAATTATAGCCTTCTGAAACGTTAGGTTAAATACCATACATTACTAAAATTATTTTCATCTGTTTCTTTTAAATGTGGCTCACATTTATATTTTGATGGATAGTGCTACTACAGATACTCTATCAAAACCAACTCTTCATCACACTGGTCTGGCTTAATGATCTGGTGAGAGATCATAGACAAATTGTTTCTATGGGTAAATACATCTTCCAAAGCTTCTTAGCTTCTTCTAAGAAAAACACTAGAAACAGACTTACCAATATACTCTTCCAGATCAATGAAACCATCAGCATTCTTATCTATATCCTCCATCGTTTCCTAAACAGGGAAAAATGAGAAGAGGCTTTTAAAGTTAGTCTCTGAATGAATTTGCCAGAAGAGAGTATCATCTCTAGTTCAGGCAAACATTTTTCATTCATTAAAAAGACACACACACAAACACACATATGAATGTGTGCCTATATGGTTAAAAAAGCCATAGGAAATTGATGCTTTTCTAGCTGGAAAATGGTAAAACATTAGCAATTTCTTATGCTTAAACCTAAGATAACAATGAGTCTTCTTGAAAGAACATTGACACTGCTTAAAGATGAATGATCCCACCAAACCCATGATGTTCTACCTGGAAGCCTTAGTCATGTTAAAGTCATACTAACAGAATATGTGACCAGTGATTATGTATATTGCATAGATAGTGTATGTTATCAGTAACTGCCCTTTGTGAGAATTCATCAGTGTCATTGTTAATACTACTCTGACCACTGGTCATGGGATATTTTTAAAAATAAGATTTAGCCTTATTCTTATATTATGAAGCTACCAATAAAATGGTAAAATGCATTATCTGATGAAAAGTATTATTGTACTAAACAGGAACTCCAAGGTAAATACAAAAAATGACTTGATCAATGTCAGAGAAAAACAGTGACAGCTTGGACTCTGAATCTGGCCAGCACTTGCATAGCAAGCCACTCTTCCAAATACACAGGAAAGGCTTAAAGCCCGGCATAAGCCATAAAAAGAGAAACTAATCCCTGTTCAGAATCCTTGATCTCACCCACCTGCACAACGATATCTTTCATATAATCATACTCCTCAGGGTGCAAGAAAGCTGTGAACTCCTCCTTTGTGGCAATGAGATCTCCATCTTTGTCTGCCATTTTAAACCTCCGCTCATCTCTAATCATCATCTGTTTATAGTTAAATCCATCATCAGGGTCTGGATCATCTAGAAAACAAAAATTTAGGTCAAATCTTAAAAGGATTTCAGAAAACATGAAAATGTGTGAGGTAGGGAATCAATTTCCAATAAAGATAAACCAAGCAGTGAATACATAATTGATTACACATGTAAAATTGCAGCAGTATAAAGACATTTAGTTTTGTGCTAAAGCTTCAGTAATCAGACCCCAGAGTAGGTCCAAGTTCAATATAAATGTTTTTGCCATTCAACATGGAACTCTGGCTCCCAGACTATGTAACTCAACATGTGATGCCTCACTGTTATTGGTACTAAGGCTACTTAGAAGGCTAATTTAATTTTCTAGTTATGCCTGGGAGGCAATGGTGGCACTAAAGTCATACTAAGTTTGAAGTACCACTTCCTAGCTGTGTGGCCTTCATCAAGTAACTGAACTGGGCATCAGTCTCCTCATCTTAAAATGGAGATAATGATAAAAGCCAAAAATGAATACCAAAGGCATTCTACTTCATATTAAGGACACTTGGATTCAAGCAACACCACCATTTGAAAGATCACACTTTTTCTCAGTCAACCCAGAAATCTACCAAGAGTTATAGATATTGTTCATTCCCTATTTATGTAAAATTCTAGAAAATATAAACTAATCTAGAGTCATAGAAAGTAGACCAGGTGAGTGGACTGCCTGAGCCTGCAGATTCGAGACCCACCTGGGCAACTTGGCAAGATCTCGTCTCTACAATAAATCAAAAATTAGCCAGGCCTGGTAGCGAATGCCTGTAGTTCCAGCTACTTGGAAGGCTGAGGCGGAAGGACTGCCAGAGCCCAGCGGATCAAGGCTGCGGTGGCTGGGAGCGTGCCACTGCACTCCAGTCTGGGTGACACAGTGAGACTCCAACTCAAAAAAAAAAAAAAAAAAAAGAACGGAGACCAGTAGTTGCCTAGAAGGGACAGAATGGGGAGGGTGAGAAGGGTTACAAGGGGAGAGAAGGAAACTGTGAGGGATGATGGGTATGTTCATTAGCTTGATTGTAGTGGTGGTTTCATTGATGTATGCATGTGTCAAAACTCATCAACTGTGCACCTGAATATGTGCAATTCATTGTATGTCAATAATACCTTGATAAAGCTGTTACAAAAAATAAACATCAGATTACAAATTGAACTTGGACCTACTGCATAGCAGCAGTTACCTAATTTTTACTTAAAAATCTAGCTTCTTTAAGCTAAAAAAAATGTGGAGTTAACTGCAGAACAGGAATTTAAAAACTTTTTCATTTTGAGCTGCTGTGTAAACCAAATAAGATAACATATGCCAGGGTATTTTAAAAAGAAAAAGACATCACATTAAAGGTAACAAGTTATTGTTCCTGATGTACACTGATTTAGTAAAAAAGAGATGACACAAATTTTATAACAAGATCCGCAGGGCCCCTTTAACAATAACACCATTACTGCTGACCTTTGATTCTGCAGTTCAATCTTTCCATACTTTAAGCACAGTTTAAAGAAACAAATCCAAAAACTACTGCTCTATTTTAAAAGTGAGCAGCTTGAAGCTTCATTTTGTGTTGAGTGTCAAAAATTCAGTAACACAGCTTATTGAATCATAAGGCTTTGGGACCCTGTTATGTATATTCAAAGCCATAATACATTGGAGATAAAAAACTTAAGGAAAATATCACCTTTCTCAGGTACCAAGCTGGCTCTTCCAAACAGATACAACATTTCAGTACCAAGTATGTAACATAAATAAGAAAGATGATAAGACAATTTATACTGTAAGACCGAATTCTTAGCTGAAGAGTTCTCCTTCCTTCCTTAGGGTGAAAAAACATGGTGACTGCAGACAAGTAGCTTCATAACAACATACACATATGTATAAAGATGGGTAAAGGAGCCAGGCTCGGTGCCTCAGCCTGTAATCCCGCACCTTTGGGAGGCTGAGGTAAGTGGATTGCCTGAGCCCACGGGTTCGAGACCCGCCTGGGCAACGAGACCTCATCTCTACTATAAATCAAAAAATCAGCCGGGCGTGGTAGTGCATGCCTATAATTCCGGCTACTTGGAAGGCTGAGGCGGAAGGATCGCCGGAGCCCAGCAGGCGAGGTTGTGGTGGTCGAGAGTGGCCACTGCACTCCAGTCTAGGTGACCGAGTGAGACTCCAACTCAAGAAAAAAAAAAATGGGTAAAGGAAGAGGCAAAACTTTATTTATCTAAAATTTTATTTTAAATGACAAAACCTACTATGTCCACAGCCCTGCCTGCAGGGCTGGATCTATCCTAAGCACCAGCTTTGGTCCTAGTTGGTCTGTTCAGAGAGAGCCTGCTTTGGGTAGGCTCTTGATCTAGTTTTGTTACAGGCAGTGTGGACCTTAGTATTTCGTATTTTACTAGTGGCAGAGACAGTGTTAATGTCCCATTTGTGGATAATGGATTCATTGACATGAATTTTAACCAAGAGCTATGATGATCTGTACCTGAAATTGAAAGTGAACTATGCATACACTCTCATAACTCCTCAGCACTTCTCTACACAGGCTCTTCACTCACTGAGTACTGTCTACCCGAGGCCTCCAGGGAAAGATGCCTTATAAAGACATTGCTCCTCCAGCCAGTGCTGTGGCTCCTGCATAGTCTCAGGCAGTAGAAATACCCATTACTTGAATCATCAGCCCTGTGAGGCAACAGTGCTCTCAGCAGATTTGTATGCACATAATCAGAGTTGAAGAATCATTCTGGGCAGCCAGTGAGTGCCTAGGCCTGAGCTGAGATTTATTAACAAGCCATTTTGTTTAGATCACCATCAGCCTGCCCTTTGCTTTATATTTATAATTAATTTCAAATAACTCAGGAGGGTGCTGGGTCTCAGCACGAGCAAGAAGCAGAATGACTCTCCATCTGTGTCGACTTTTTAATACACATGTTCTTAATTGGGTGAAGGATATGTTTGGTTCTTGGCTAAGTGTCAAGCATTGAGAGACTGCTGCTTTAGTCTTAGGAATGAGAATAAGCCTGACACAGAAATAAAAGTCTCTTCACCAGAAATGCATGCAGTCCTGTAATTATCACAGACAGCTGGCTATCCAGGGGGAAACAGACCATTACACACTCACTGTTAGTCAGTGGTAAAGAATGCTTGCTTTAACCCAGAAATTTGCCTAATTTCCAGGATAAAAATGCAAAAGCACCATTTATACATTCTTGTCTCAAACCATAACCATGTACAATAGAGGAATCTCACTAATAGCAACACCCTAGGTCATCAACTCAGTGAGATCATTGCCTAGTATTCAGCAGCAGGCAAGTATAATAAGTAAAAGGAAATTACTAACAGGTGGCCCAAGCATATAAGCTACCAAATCAACAGAAAGCAATCAAAGTAACATTTATTTGCCTTGAAACATTTGCAAAGCAGGCTGATAAACTCATATGCCAGAGAAAACAAATGGGAAATTTTCATTTCTAAACCTCAATAAACAGAATACTGAGATATTACATTTTTTCAAGTAACACTATTTTATTTTGTTAAGGAAAGACAGTAAACCCCACCCTCCCATTCTCACCAGTTGTAAACAAATCCAATTTGGCTTCAATTTTAGGCCCAACACTTTAAAAGGACCATGTCAAAAGACATCTCAAAGTCTCTTACTTTGCATTGTTGGAACAATGCAGCCTTTTAAATGAAATCTACTCCAAAAATTGTCTCTATGAGGGTTGACAAAAAAAAAAAATAGTGAAAGTATATTTGAAATGCTAACAATGCAGAAAATGTCATACTTCAGAAAACCACAGTAAGTTAAAAATACATAATAAACAAACTTAAATAAAACAAGAGGGAAATCAGCTTGGCCTCAAACTATTTAAGATAAACACAATTTCTTCCTTTCCTTCACTGTATGACCCATTTGTTTCTTTGACTCAAGACCATGGTCTCTGCCAGGCTGACATCTCGCCCCTTACCCAGGTAAGTGCCATAAGTCACGTTTCTGTACTCATCCCAGGAGATTAAGCCGTCTTGATTCATATCAAACTCCTGCCACTGGTTTTCAACATTGTCAATGTATTTCTTCTGGGCGTGCTTAATCCAAGATTTCAGCTCCCCCTCCGTCACAAACCCATCTTTATCCACGTCTATTTTATCTACAATCATTCTACAAGACAAAACAGTTACGTTTCAAGGTGCCGGCTCCACAAGGCTTTTCCCCCAGAGAGTAGGGACCTACCTAAAACGTAGCCGTAGGTGGCATTTTTATACTCCTCCCAGGAAACGAGGCCGTCCTCATTGAGGTCATGCCCCTTCCACTGTCGCTCTACATCCTCGTAAATCCAGCGCTTTTGTGCAAATTTAATCCAGTCTTTGAGCTCATCCACAGTGACAAACCCGTCCTTGTCGCCATCTATTTTACTTACAATCTTTCTGTAGAAAATGCAGAGAAATCCAGCAAGAGGTTAAAAGAACACAAAGCTCTGGACGTAGCCAGGTGTGTGCTGTGACCATAGGTGTTACCCAGGGCTAATGCACAGAAATTAAAAAAAAAACTGTCTCTAAAAACAAAACTGCCAGGCTGGCAGCTGAAAAGTTTTCTCCTAAATGGTCCATTACTGGTTTGTAATGAGCCATCTGAATAAAGCAAACACAGTCCATGGCTCGTGTACCTAGATCCCACAGCAAACCCAGCCATCTCTTGAGAGGCAGATTTTAGCCGAGGTAGAATTCAGGAGTGAAGATCCAGGTTCCTAGTTCTTTGCATCAAACATATAAATCTTTCTATTTCTCTCTATTGCTTTTAGAAGAAAATCTCCATTTTTGGGCAAATAATCATGCTACTAAAGTGGTTTTCTATTATAAAAAGTCAAAACATTTAGACCAGACTTTAAAAAATTTAGCTGCTTTTAGAAAAAGTTAACACTTTTGTTAAAAATATAAAGATATCAAAAACAATTCTGGGATCACTTATGCATCTGAAGGTAAGATTGTTTAAAAAAGCATGCACACAGACAAGAAGATGCTTATCTAAAAATGGCTAACAGCTTTTACATAGTACATTGTATTGTTTTTTTAATATGAAAACAGAACTCTGAGGAAATGATGTGGTAATGTATATATCTCTGATGATGAAAATGTTAATAAGCTCAGAGGGTTAGTGTGCAGATTATAAAGCAAAACAACAAAGCCAAGGAATCAGTATACTTCTCTCTTTATGACCGTGATTTTAATTCAAGGATTTAAAAATGTGTGCATGATATGAAAACTACTGTTTAAAAATGCAGTCACCTGATTATAGAGGCAAAGTCAACCTGTGTAATGTCCCACAAGTAAGCAGCCCAGTTTGGAATAGGAAGTTTAAATCCAAACTTCCAAGAAGTGAAATCTCCTATACTCTATTATTTGTAGGACTGAAAAAGACTTTAATGTGACAGCAAATAATGTTTTTCTTCAGACTGTGTTCATTTAATGAATATAACACAGGAGAGTAATTAGAATCGCAGAGCACTAGTGACATTGCTTATAGACTCATCTTGATATTGATTTGGCTTTAGCCACAACTGTCTAGTACTAAAATCCTATAGTTAACAAGCATTTGCCTTCAGAGAATGTGGAATCTTGTATCTTTTCCTCTAAAATGTTAACAGAAAAGGTAAAGCAGTTACAATTATCTCTTTTTTTTCATCCACAGGGCTCTGCTTGGTAGAAGTTATCTCTTAAATATCCTTTTCTATCTACATAGACATAGTAACAAATTTTTTGTTGCAACTGTTAAATTTTAATAGATTAAATGATACCAGTATTGAAAACGTCTGCATTATTTATAACAATATTCAGTTTGTGACCAAATGCTACTGGCTACCAATAGTGTCACTGTACACTGGAAGAAGGCAGGGTATTAGAACCCGTCCCATCCCCAAAACTATTATAAATAGCCTTAAGAGAAGGATCACCCAGATGAAAAAAGGTATGACTGTTCAAGACAGGCTTTTGAATAAAGTTGGCTGAACAGCATTCTATTCAATGGAAATATTCCAAATGGTTTAATCCAGGGGTTGGCAAACTGTTTTTTGAAAAGAGACAACAGTACATATATCTGACTTGTGAGCCACATATGGCCTGTCACATATATAAATATTTGTAAATATTACTATTTACAAAAAAATAAATATGTATACACACATGTACATAAATATACATATATATTTTTAACATTCCTCTAAAAATTTAAAAGCAATTCTTATCTTGCTGACCATCCAGCCTGCAGGCAGTTGTGGAAGTCCGCTGGAAGCTGGCATATCCTATTTTAGGCATGAAGCTCCAACCTATGATCTTTAAAAGCATAAGTTCATCAAGCTAATGGTGTAGTAGTCCTATGACATTGGAGAACCCTACAGATGAGGCTATGATGCCACTAAATAAGCATTTATCCTAAGACAGACACAATGCTCTTAGTGCACCTTGTTATTTCTCTTAAGAGTAAACATATACTTCTGTTTCAAGGGGCATAAAGCAAACCCTTTAGTCTTTTAAGAATCTGGGTCAATAAGTGGGCTCTGGAAGGGTGCATAATATTCCTGAAACTTTCAGCATGCAGAATTTTATATATATTCCTATGTGTGCACTTTTCTGAGGAAGTCCTTAACTTTCATCAGCCTCCCAAAGGGTCTTGTCTTGTGAGTCCCAAAAGGGATAAGGAACTGCTCTAGTTCCCTTCTGTAGCAAATATATCAAGAGTGAGAACTTTTTTTATTTGAGTTGGAGTCTCACTCTGTCGCCCAGACTGGAGTGCAGTGGCCGCTCCCGGCCACAGCAGCCACGAGCTGCTGGGCTCCGGCGATCCTTCCACCTCAGCCTTCCAAGTAGCTGGAACTACAGGTACATGCTACCATGCCCAGCTGATTTTTGATTTATTGTAGAGATGAGGTCTCGTCAAGTTGCCCAGGCGGGTCTTGAACCTGCGGGCTCAGGCAATCCACTCACCTCAGCCTCCCAAAGTGCGGGATTACAGGCTGAGCCACCGAGCCTGGCTGAGAACTTTTTAATATCAAGAACCACTTCCTCAAAACAACTTTTCATTTAAAGGACACATACACGAAAATTAAGCATATTGAGACTTTTTTCCTCACATGTAAGGAAAAAATGTATTATTTGTCAGCATTCGTAATAAGAAAAAGAAACTTGTATATTAAAATTGTTTTAAAAAATGATTCCTGGCTGGGTATGGTGGTTTATGTCTGTAATCTGGGAAGCCAAGGCAGGAGGACTGCTTGAGCCCAGGAATTCAAGACCAGCCTAGGCAACACAGCAAGACGTTACCACTACAAAAAATTTTAAAAATTAGTTGGACGTGGTGGCACATGTCTGTAGTCCCAGTTACCTGCTTTTACTTAGGAAAAAGTGGCAGAAGGATACCTGAGCCCAGGAGGTCGAGGCTGCAGTGGTGTGAGTGTGCCACTGCACCACAGCCTGGGTGACAGAGTGACTCCGACTCAAAAAAAAAAAAGCTTCCTGTGTTATTTTAGATATAATTACTGAAGATTTCAAAATGATAGTGAATTTTTGCAATTACGGGTATAAGTCAAGACATAGTCCTTAATAATCACTTGCCTTACAGACAGAAAAAGGGGACAACTGTTGCTTCCTGTCACCTACCAGAACAATGATGCCTCAGTCAATACATTAAAAAAAGTTCACATAGGAGTCTTGCTTCCATCAACACATCCCTGTATAAACTAGGGATATTTGTTACTATCTCCAAAATTTAGGAGAATTAAACAGTACTTAGTTCATTGATACATTCCATAAAAACACGACCTCATCATCTTAATCTAATCAAACAAGAACCTGATCATATCCTGAACTTTTAATGATATTCACTGATGACAAAAAGGAATACTTTCTACTGAAAATGGCCAGCTATTTCACTACCTGCAAAGAGCCAGAACTATCTACTCTAAATGACAGAAAGTCTAAGAGTCTTTCATTATTTAAGAGTAATTCTGCAAAGAAACACATGCAGACTGAAATGTGGCTGGACATGCACAATATTAATAGGTTTGACAGGAAGATGGAGGACACCCTCTTGCAGTTCCATCTTCAGCTTTGAGTGTTAGCAGTTATAAGATTAAAAGTGAGGATGACCTTAAAGTTAGAAAAGCAACCTAACAGAAGACCGACACTGATGTGTTTCCTACATCTACTTTCAAATGTTTTGGGATAATATTCATTCTACGTAGCAAAATCTTCTGATTACTTCTGTCAATGTTAAAGGATAAAATAGTGTATTCTTCAGTCAGCAGGTAACCCAATGAAAAATACATTTATTCTGAAGCATACCCTCCATGATGGCAAAATATTTTGGAAATTGCTATATGTGGTACAACTGTTCACACAAACCTGATGAGTAAGTTGCACCAACAGTGCACACTGTGAAGAACATTTTCATAAAACTGACCTGTATCACCTTAAAAAGTGAGGCTTTAGAAAAACCAAAAAAAGACATCCTTAGATGCTCTGTTAAAAATAATCAACTGGGATTCTACCAATTCCTTTAGGTAAAAAATGGCCAGCTGAGAGCCCGAGAACCTGACTATGGTCTGGCTGTTACTGAAACAGTAACTCATATTCAGACATTAGACCATTACTGGTTATAGTCTCCTAAAAGATAAGGTTGGTTTGTTTGGCTTTGTTTTTTAATTAAGCAAATATCTCAGAATGAAAACAAGGTGAAGGACCCCTTGGGAAATTATAACCTTTCTAGAAAATAGCCTAGGGGTCCAATTTGCAATTTATTAGCAACTCAAAGCTAGGCTTAGGCAACAATGAATAAATAGGTCACAAGCAGTTTTTAAAAATTAAAGCAGCAGCGAAGAGAAATCCCCCATGTAATGTTCCAGGATCAAGATGATGCAATTCAAGCTGGGTCCTGTAGTACTTGCTACTTTTATGCAAAAATGATTTTGCTTTGTAGAATGAGGTAAACTTATCCAGGAAGAAATGTATGAAAGCAGGCACTCAATTAAATTTTAGCGACAGCAATTCCATGGTTAGCTTTCAGAAGATGTTCTTCAGCACAGCTTTACTGTGGTGACTGAACCAGAAAAGAAGAATTAGTTGATTTATAAAGAATATCATTACCCAAACTAGACCCCTGAGAGTTGGCACCTTACCCAAGCCTTTCCTTGCTCTCTTCTGGTGTCAGCTGATCAAAGGTCTTTGCTTCTTCAGCACCCAAGAAGGCATCATGGTCATAATCAAAACTCTGAGCATCATTGTGAACCTTGTCGCTGAGCTGAGGCTCATGATGCACACGGTCCTTCTTTTCCGTGGGCTTGCTCAAGGCCAAAGCTGTGCACAGGGACAGGCACATAAGAAACTGTCGCAGGTCCATGATAGCCAGATCTTAAAGAAAATGAAAACCAGTTCATTCAGGAGCCAGTATGCTTAATAATTAAATAAGAAATTAAAAGCTCACATCTCAATTAAATTATTCATCTCATATACACATCTATTCAAGTCATTTGTGTTATTTTGAATATTACTTAACTCATAAAATTAAGTATGGTGGAATACTGGACTCTCCAATTATTATGGTAAGACTTTTTTTAATCAGTTTCCTTCAACTGATTGCAGGCCAATAAGATCTTACTTTATAGTTAAAATATCCATTTTGTGTCTTTCTTCAAAAGACACCAAAGTAGAACTTTAATCATTTTGCCCAACAGTTAAAAGTTAAAGAACCAAGATTTAAATTCTGACCCCAAATCCTTTATTTTTTTTTACTGCATCAGTGATCTGGTCTTCAAACCTGGTTGGTTACTAGAATCACATAGGAAGCTTTGAGTTTCCTCTATTGATCCAGAATCTCTATTGAATCCAGACACCTGATTCTGGTGCTCATCAGGTTAGGCGCCAATAAAACACTCAGCAGTTTCCTTGGTCTACAGCCCACGTTTGGGCTTAATCTTGAATCACCATCAAATACCAAAGCATTCAGATGGTCTGGTCAGAGATGACAACTTCTTTATCCTTCTGGAAGTGTTTCCCAGACTTGTGGAGGCCTAAGAACCACCTGTTCTTAGTCTACTGTTCAAAGCGGACTTCCAAGCCCTATTCCAGACCTTCAGAAGCTCTGCAGTCACAAGTGATGCTACTGAACAAGCTCAAGGCTGGGACACTTGACTGAAAAAGTGACAAAAGTCTGCAGAGAAGTTGCAAGAGAGAAATTTGCTTAGCACACTCTACAGACACCCCACAAGACTGTTCAGAGTGGTTAAGGTCTTCAAGAACAATCAGGGTTTTCCCATGCTTTTATATTTTAATTACTCTTTCATCAGCAGAACAGGGATTCCGAATGCTTTTCCCCTCCAGAGGGAATATGTTTTTGCAATCTCAAATTATCTCTCATTGATTTCCCTTCATCCCCAGCCCCTGGTACCTGTGACCAGGGTACTTTTTATTAGAAATAGGGTCTTTGCAGATGTAATCAAGTTAAAGTGAGGCCACACTGGATTAGGTTGGGCCCTAACTTAATGGCTGATGTCCTTGTAAGATAAGGGAAGTCTGGACACACGGAGAAGAGAATGCCATGTTATGAAAGAGGTAGAGACAAGTGACACACCTACATGTCAGGGAAAATCAAGGATTACCGACAACCACCAAATGCTAGCAATCAAGGAAGAACTCTCCCCTAGAATCTTCAGAGAGCATGGACCGCCAACCCTGATTTTGGACCTTTAGCCTCTAGAACTATGAGAGAATAAAATTCTGTTCTTTTAAATAACTCAGTTTATAGCAACTTGTTACTACAGTCCCAGGAAACTAATACAAGACAGTAGAGAGGGCAGTGCCACATGGAAGTTAATATTACCTTGTCCTAATCTACAAATTAAACTAGCCACAGAGTTCATTTTCTGCAGGACATCACTAGCAGAACTAGCTAAACAGTCACACTTTATATGTAAATACTTACAAAAGAAGAAAATTCAGCATAGCTCCTAACTCAGTGGTTCTAGATTGAGACTGTACCCTAGAGTCACCTAGAGAGCTTTTTGAAATTTGATACTAAGTCCCGGCCCTAAACAATTAAATAATAATATCTGGGGGCGAGGCCTAGGCATTAATATTTTGTAAAGGCTTCCTAGGTGCAGTCAGGTTGAGAACCACTATTCAAACCAAATCCTCAAGACAGTTAAACAGAAAGTGTATTCAGTGTGAAGAAACTACATATATCTGATCCTGCCACAAAGCTTTGGGAACTTGAATGGAGTCAATTGTGCCAGGGGATAAGAAAATTAAATGCACCAATACATTACACACATTTCAACATATCCATTTTTCTTGTAACCCCCAAATAGTAACTAAATGAAATTATAATGTGTTAGCATGGATGTGTAGAGCCCTTTGGATTCAATAAACAAAAAAATGCTTAGCACACCTAATGGTGAGCATGTTATATAAGGACTCCTTATAAACAAAAGGAAAGCAAATAGAAAAATATGCTTAGTTCCAACATAACCCAGAGAGCTGATTACACAAAGGCATAATCTGAGGCTTCTGTGAACAACTTTCAGGTTTTGGCAGGGCACACAAGGGCACTGTGTGCAATCACTGAGAAAGACACTCTATTGGGCAGGGTGGGAGGTCCTGAAACGGTAGAGGACACATCAGTGGAGGAAAACATGCTCTAGAATAAACAAGACAGTGCAGTGAGGCAGAGAAACGCAGCTAAGGAGGGAGTGGGACACAATCTCTCCTAAGGGTCATGCCCCAAGTGCACCAGCCTCACACAGGTACTGTCAATGATGGTGTGAAAGTTAAGACTTAGAAACACCACCAGAGAAACAATATGAAAGCAAAACCACAGGGCCCATGGAGAAAGGGCTAGAAGGTGTACTTGTCTTAGCTGCTCTCACTAATGTTAGAGCCTGGCTATACTTCCCTCAACATACTCCTTCACTGGATCCCATCAAAATACCTAAACTTATAGACAAAGATCCTTGCATTAAGATGTTCAGTGATGATAGCTTACAATGATTTAAAAACTGGAAAACAAGATAAAGCAGAGAACTGGTAAAATATATTAAATCTGTATTATGGAATAGTACACAGAAGTTAAAAAGAATGAGGTGGAGCCGGGCTCAGTGGCTCAGCCTGTAATCCCGCACCTTTGGGAGGCTGAGGTGAGTGGATTGTCTGAGCCCGCGAGTTCAAGACCCGCCTGGGCAGGCGAGACCTCATCTCTACAATAAAATCAAAAAATCAGCCAGGCGTGGTAGCGTGCGCCTGTAATTCCGGCTACTCAGAAGGATCGCCGGAGCCCAGCAGGTCGAGGCTGCGGTGGCCGGGAGCGGCCACTGCACTCCAGTCTGGGCGACAGAGTGAGACTCCAACTCAAAAAAAAAAAGAATGAGGTGGATCTATTTGTGGTGAAATGGAGAACTCACCAAGATATGTTAAGTGGACAAAAAAGCAAGCTGCAAAGCAATGTCAAGCCCTCATTTATATAAAATGCAAGCAAAATTAAACAATCTCCCCGGGTTGTTTGTAGTTGTATAAAACACATGCACAAAACCACCACGGGTAAACAGTGGTAACCTCCAGGATCAAGTGAGAAGAGATAGAACTGGGTGGGCAGCTGAGGTTGATGTGGATGTGAACTTTAATACGATGCTCTGCTATGTTGTCTCATTTTTGTAAATGGCTCACTCATATGTATTATCTTCTTGCATGTATTGTTCCAGGTGAATAATACTCTGGCTGGCCTTCCAATAATTCAACTGATCAGTCAAATCAGTTAAAGAGTAAAGAGAAAATTAGAGATTTAGTGGCTCTCTTAAATACAACATCAAAGTGAGTATACCTTTATTTTAGGGCAAAAATGAAATTTCTACCTCAATTTTTTAGACAAATACAACTTTAGAAACAAGAAACAGGATTATATGTTTTTGATGTTTTGTGATATTTCCAAACAATATTTAATGTAGAGACTTACAGAATCAAGGAAAATCAAGAGTCACTGAGACAAAGGATTTCCCTTATGCCTGAAGGGCTTTCACTTTTGGAAAAATTTTATAAATTATTAATACATCCACAGAATAAAATAAAATATAGTATAATAACCCTTTTTTTGCAGAGACAGTGTAGAGTGACACACACACACTCAGTGGCAACAGAAGCACACTCTCCATACACAGGGTGTGTCCCCTCAGGTTCTAAGCCTGCAGGTCGTACTGAGGTCATGGGCGAAGGGTCCTCCACACCTGCTGACCACATCTTGCAGCTGTGCACAGTGGATTTGCTCATCTACCCTTCCTTGAGGCAGTTGCCCCCCCAGGTCAGGCATGCCTAGATCAATGTCCATAACTTTTGGTAATACCTTTAGTTCACCTTTGGTTCATTGTAATACCCAAAATCCTACCCCTAGAGAGAATTCACTGCCATTTTGTGAACATGCAACACACGTATAAGCACCTTCTGACACTACACCTGCACACTGGAAATCCCACTCTTTTCACGCTTAAACCCGCACTCTACCCGATGTAAAATGCTACATAAACGATGTGCCTTTAACAATTATGAGTTTTTTCCCATCCAGCCAGCCACTCCTGGACCATCTCCCCTGTAAATTTCAGGATAAAGCTCATGTCTTGGCCAGGCACAGTGGTTCACGCCAGTAAGTCTAGCACTTTGGGAGGCTGAGGCAGGAGGACTGCCTGAGGCCAGGGGTTCAATGACCAGTCTGGGCAACTTGGTGAGACCTCATCTCTACAATATATCAAAAAACTAGCCAGGCATGGTAGTGTGTGCCTGTAATTCTGGCTACTTGGAAGACTGAGGTGGAAGGATCGCCTGAGCCTAGCAGGTTGACACTGGGGTGGTTGTGAGTGTGCCACTGCACTGTAACTTGGGCAATAGAGTGAGACTCTGACTAAAAAAATAAAATAAAATAAAATAACTGGGCGTGATGGCGTGTGCCTATGGTCCCAGCTACTCAAAAGGTTGAGGCAGAAGGTTTGCCTGAGCCCAGAAGCTTGAGGCTGCAGTGAGCCATCATCTTGCCACTGCCCTCCAGCCTGGGTGGCAGAATGAGACTCCGATTCAAGAAAAAAAAAAAAGGTTTATGTCTCATCCATTGTCTCTGGAAATTTTTTCAGCTTCTCAGATACAGTGCCTTCCTTTCTGGGGTCTTTGGGAGTCCAGTACAACAGGGTCTTGCTCTGTTGACCAGGCTGGAGAGCAGTGGCGTGATCACAGCTCACTGTAGCCTCAAACTCCATCTCGACTTACTTAAGTAGCTGGGCTTAAAGGTGGGCACCATTATGCTGGATTAATTTTTAAAGTTTCTTTAGAGATAGGCTCTTTCTGTGCTACCCAGGCTAGTTTCAGACTCCTGCCCTCAA